TTAAAGGAGAAAGATTTCCCGGGGGGCGCTGATTCAATTAATTGCTGCAACGGGGGGCGCCCAAGGATTTTTTTTCTGAAAAGGGGGCGGTAGGCCAAATAAGTTTGGGAACCTCTGGTCTATAAGGTGCCACAGGACTCTTTGCTGCTTTTACAGATCCAGACTAACACAGCTACCCCTTTGATAACTTTCAATCAGTCCATTTTTTGCCATGACCTGTCATTCAAAACCCATTTGGCAAATGTTCCTCAAACACTGCAGAAACATTCTCCTGTACCTGGATGCTCCCTGAAGGTGTCCTTAAACCAAAATAACTTTCTTTGAACTAGCATGCTCTAGTTTAAATGAAGCTTTTAGTGAGAATGAATATAACTTGCTTCAAAAGGGGAACAATTAAGCAGCATGATTCTTGCATCTTAAAATGCAATTAGCAATTGTATCCTGTGTTTTCCTTGCAGAATGTCACTAAAAGGTAACATTTTATTCCTAGTAACCAGTGAATGTTTTGGATGGAGCTATGTGAATAACTGATTTTTTGGTTCGGTGGCTGAAATGAAAACTAGAAAAACAAAAACAAAGAGTTTAGGGTTAACAGGAAATTAAATTTTTTAGTATTTTTTGTGAACTAAAAGTTTATAAAAAATTAATTTTGGGTCAAACATAACATTCTGTTCAATCTGAAATGAAATATTTAGTTTAGTGTTTGAGATTATTTTTACTTAAATTTTATTAATTTTTTTAGAAGTAAAATTTGAAACAAAAAGTAGTTTCGAATAAAAAAGTCAACATGTTGCATATAGAAAAGGTTGAAACATTTTGACTTTTTTGGATTTTTTTTTTTTTTGGACTGAAACAACTTGGCAAATTTGACATGGTTTGGTGAGACACTTGAGTTGACTCGAATCTGCATTTTTCAGTGAAAAAAAGTTTACACTGAAAATATTTCCCCAGCTCTAGCACTGGACATGCAAAAGCTTTAAATTGCTTTTAGTCTTTGCAATCTTGATAATATGTCTCATCAAACTGAGAGGATGTGCCGCCTTGAGAACCTTTTCCTATTGGCTGGATACATGTGGCGCTTTAGCAAGTCCCACCACTACGTACAGGTCAATAAGCCGACTATCTCCCTATGAGGCATCTTCTTTCCTCTTTCCTATGAAGCTATCTTATTTCCACTGTATCCACTTTTTCAACCTGTGAATGTATGCCCCTGCCCTTCAGAGTGTCGCTAATTTACTGTCGCTTGCCCCTTAGTGCATGCTATTTTACTGCTATTTCTTTTTTAGATGCTAGGTAGCTATTTCACTACAGTTTATCCCCCACCTTCAAAGCTTGCTAGTTTTTTCTTTTCCTCTGGCTGCAGCTCACAAGTTTACCATTGCTTGTCTGGTTGATGCATCTTCACCAATAGGAGGAATGTCTGTTGAGTTTCTGATACTAACGGAAATGAGAAAATAATGCACTTCACACCAGGTCAGGAGTGTAAACCTTTTGCAAGCCAAGGGACTAGCTGTGCTGCTGCTACAGGTTATTTTCAGGAAAGACCAGTGTCAGTGTCACAATGTGGTTCTAACCATGAGTCTTGCATATTTCTTCCATACCCTTGTCTTTACATTGCTTCTCTATTTTCACATTACGCATAAATGCTTAGGGCCAAATTCTGTTCAATTTTCAAAATCCTTCAATAAGGAGCCCTCTGGGCCCGATTTGGGAGCATCATTTGAATCCTGAAACACCTGGTCCTATTGAATTCACTGGCATCCTAATTCACTATTGATCAGCTCGTTGTTTGAGGAGTAGTGCTACATGGCTTGTGTGGTCAGTTCTCAAACCTGTTGCTTGGGATTGTCACGGCAGGGGGAAGAACATGTGCTCACCACGGGAATTAAGGGCCATTAGACACCTCACCACATTCTGTTCCAAGTGCAAGGCACACTTCTCCAATATAAACACATAGCATATACATAGTAAAATAAATACATTTCCAAAGCCTTATCAAAGCACGTCCCTCCACTCTATATACAGTTCTCTCCCTGAGAAGAGGAGGAGAGAGAGAACAAACCACGTGTGATACATGTTAATCACATAGATTAATGCACCACTGGAATGCTCTCAGATTCTACAGTGATGAGGTGGTATAAGAACCTATGTAGAATAGAATACTTGCTGTTGAGGTATTTACATAAATATTTGTTTATTTGCATATTTGCATATAATTGCTGTGTGGATGTTCGTGCTGGTGCATGCATAACAGAGCTGGTGAATGAAGCCCACCAGATTATACTTGCCCCAGTCTGTCTTCCTTTCCTCATCATCACAGGAAATGCTGCTGCCCCATGAAAGTCCAGGGTAGAAGGCAGCAGTTCTGGGCCTGCTCTCATGTGTTGCGGGGGTGGCTGCTGCACCACAAAGTGGCTGCCAGCTAAAATCTGAACTTCAGCAGTCCCAATCAGCAGCCTTGTGGGACACAGCACAGGCCATGCAATTTTGGGACTCTCCCATAAACTATGAATGAAAACAGTAATCAATGCCCTTGGTATCTGGAACTCTCTTCCTCATTCAGTATGTGGATTGAAGTCAACAGATGGGCCCTTGTCGACCTTGGAGCATATTGAATAAGGCCCATAAACATCAAAACCAAAATCGGGATACACTGGCACATCTGTATTTGTCGTGTAGATGGCCTCTAATAAATCTGTGTCCTAATTTTGGTGTAATTTAATTCATAATTATTCTCAGGACTATCAGGTGTCCTCATTACTCAGACCCCACTTGCTTGACTAGTTCGTAGCTTATCTCAGTGCCATCTGTAAATTTGTTTAGTGCATCATTTGAGATTCAGCTTTGCTAATGCTGAGCAGCTGCTCCTGTATTCATTGCTGTTTGAGCCAACTGCTCCTGATAGCCGGCCGCACCATTGATCAGCATGTGACATATGAGTCTGTACAGTTGTAATGCTGGTCATTTCTATCCTGTTAATGGCAGGGCTTGACATTATTGAAAGACCTAAATTGTGTGTTTCATTGATTATATGCAGGGAAGGATGCACTGTTCTGTAGATTACATGACTTGTGCGATTTGGTTGGAGCTGGCTTCATTGTGCGAAAGGGGTGCTTGAACTCAGTTTGAAGCAGTAACCCTCCTCCCATTATGGACTTTGTTTTTATCTTTGTTGCCCAGGGAAGGCAACGTGTTTTATGCTTAAGTTCCTCAGCGATGTACTTTTGAGTGCTCAAAATCAGATCTATAATCCATCCCAGCACAATAGTGAATAGAGAAAAATGGTGAACAGGTGCTTAAGAAATATTGTTAAAAAATGACACAAACCTCCTCCCATCTCCTTTAGCCATATTTTCATCAGGTTCCAGTCTGTTCAGACAAAGATCTTCTTCCTCTGCCAAATAACCCCATTTTTCTAGCTTTCTCAGTTAACCTCCAGCTCTGTCCTTAACCCACCTTAATCTCTGTATTGTGGTAGCAGGGCTCAGAAACCCTGGTATCTGTTCTTTTGCTCTGTTTTTTTAATTTGGTTCTTCTCTAGGGCTTCCATTGAGTTGTGCCCCTGAGAGAATGGAGCAGCTGTGGGCATTGCTCAAAGCTGTATTGACCTAGGGTCCTGAGTTCTAATTGCACCTCTGCTATTCACCTTCTGTTTTGTCTTAGACAGGTCCCCACCTCTCCTTGCCTCTGTTTTCCCAGGAAAGGTCTGAGGTATAAGAACTTAGAGAGCTTTCTACCTCACAGGTGTGCTGTGTGAGAGTTAACAGGATACAGATTATATAGAGCTTAATTTGTTGATGTACATACATGGATATCTGAGTCTGAAACCAGTTGAGTACCTTGATCAGTCTCAACCATGTAGAATCTTTGGATGCAGCTATATCCAGTGATGGCAGTGGATGTTAGCTAACATTTTCCCCTCATCTAGTTTTATCAGGATTGGCTCTGTTCCTTTAAGCTTGGGGAAGTTTCAGCTTGCATTCTGATGGTAAAAAATGGAAAAAGACGAGACCTCTGATAGTTGGCCCTTTAAGCAGGCTCATTTAGGATAAAGACTTATCCCTGAGGTTGACAGGGTTGTTTTGATCTCTCTTCCTGTAAGCAGCTGAGCTGGGCTTGATCCAGTACTTGATGTGCTGATGACTCTTGGTCTCTCCCTAAACTGAGTTCAAACATCACTTTCAAACTTGGTTCACACCCGTGTCCAAACAACTAACGACACTGTGTTCTAAAGAGTATTAAAAGTGGGCTGAAAAAAGTAGGGGGGTCTCTGATCATCTTGGAGCCTCAGCTTTGGTAAGACAGTGCTTAAAGTGCTTTGGCATGATTTAAAAAAAAAAAGCCAGGTCTGCAATCCTACCCTCAGCCCCACCCACATGAAGCACTGGTTACATAATTGGATAGTAATATCTATGCCCCTGGTTTGTGCAGTAAATCTCTGCTGAGATTCAGAGGTGGATTCACTAATAGTTTTTACATGGAAGGAATGATGTTAAGTTGATTTATGTAAAATGTGAAAAGTGCCTTTGGATTGGAAGGGTGCAAATGATCATAAGTCTTTGGAGCTTCTGCCACATTTTGGATGCTATATTATTAAAAATAGTTTATAGTAAAGACATAAGGGCATCAAGTCCAACCCTGTGCAAACATCCGCTATAATCCCTGAGGAAAAGGGTATATCCTGTATTGCATGTATCTTTATTGTGTTTAAATCCCAACACATTATTTCTTTCTAGAAATATCATAGAGAGAAACATCTTTCTCTCTGATACTCAGCTGCTGAATTCATTCTTGACTAATTTTGGTCTTTTTATTGTAGACCCCAGAGCCAACTGAAAACTACATCACTGAAGGAGAGTTTGAAGATGACCAGAGTTCTTCTGCCCCAAGCACGGTAGAGTTGGAGATACGTGGGTCAAGCCAGGAAACAGATGAAGATTATTTTGAGACCCAATCGCATCAGAGTGAATCCTTGTCTGACATAAAGACTGAGCCTTATGAAAGTGTGTCAGACACAGAGTCTGTTGCCAGTGACATAAGTGGAGAAACTTGCTTAAGTTCAAACTGCCTTTCTGCTGAAAAAAAAGAACCATGCCATACTTTTCCTGATACCAATGCAGAAATACCCCCCCATAAACTTCATTGCATGAGCCAACTGGAGTTGAGTCAAAAGGCACAATTGGAGTTGTCTTCTGATTTAAAAGTAGCACCAAGTAAAAGTGAATTTTGTATACAGACTACAAAATCGAGAAGAGAAGAAGAGGCAGGAGAGGAAGAACTAATATTAACTAGTGATCCCTCCAATACTGGGTCTGGCACTAGTGGAGAGGACACTATATCTAAGACAGAGACTAAATTGGTAGTGGATGGATTGCAAGGTGAAGCAAAGTCTGAAAACAATAAAGTGCAATCCTGTGCCAGCTCAGAACCAGCTGAAGATGCTATTGCAAAGAGTAAAAAAAGTCCAGCAGGATTAAGCATTGCTTGTCTGAAAGCAAACTCTGAAAGCTGTTTGACTTTTCCCGAGACTCAGCAATTTCCTTTGCAGCCAGATGTAGGATCAAGCCATAGTTTGCCTAATATTAATTTTGAAACAAATAGAACTGACAGTAAAAGAAACTCTGAGACATTTGAATTTCACTATGAACTAGATTCTAGATCCAACATAAAATGCAGTCAGAGGAACTCAGTTAACAATGAGGAAACTACAGCTACAAAGACAAGAAACAGAACTCCAGGGGCCACCCTTAAAACGGATTCACTCTTATACCAGCCCTGCCTAAAATCCAAATTTCAGCTTCCACACATGAGGCCAGAGATCAAAGAAAGTAAAACATGGCACAGTACACCTGAAAACATAAATGCCGGGGGCGAGAGAGACTACTTAGGTAACTGCATTCAGTTTACAGATAAATTAAGATTGTCATGTTCCAGGATACATCTTGAAGGATTGGGTTTTGAGTACACCTGGAAAAACATAGAAAGGGTTGGTGGGAGCTCTGAAAAAGCAATAAAAGTGGAGGGGAAATTTGGCATAAAAGGATCACTCCTTAATACCTGCCTAGACTCAAATAACAGTCAGCTATCTCATCCAGCGGGCTCCCAGCAAAGTGCTGAAGCTAATTTGCACACTGAATCAGAGAAATGTGGCCTTAACCCAGAAGCAGACATGTGTGCTGATGGCTTATCTTCAGCACAGCTCCAACTGAGAGATACCTCTGAGTGGGATTCAATAGAAAGGGAGACTCCCTCTGCCTTGGCTTCAGAGCCAATGAGCGTAAATGCTGAAGGAGAGGTAAGAAAAGCTAAATGCAAATCTGAGAGGGGTTTCAAAGCACACGGGTTCTCTCACAGCATTAACTCTGAATCCGGCATCAGTGAGGACCAAGCATCTTGTCTTGTAGGTGTTTCTGCCATTGCAGAAAACAAAGGTGATAACTATTTAGCAAACTATGGCCCAGCTGGTAAAACACAGCTGAACAACTTGGAGGAGAGCAGCCCTGAATCACCAAGTACTGAGGCTTGTGTGGGAGAAAGAGATTCAGAGGATTCTTCTGAACTGAATTTGGGTTGGAAATCCCTGGAGGCTACACTGAACTCTGGTGGCCAAGACATTGCAGGAGAGCAGGACGTTTCGATGCTGCAAAACCTGAATTGCAAAAACAATGCCTTACAGGGTCACTCTGAGCTTGTAACAACAAATGGACATCTCGCTGATGCAGGAAAAAAGGATGAGAATGATGGTGTTGATGCCTGTTCTGTTGAAATAGCTACCAAACCACATTACATGCACCAGGGGAAAAAATTGATGAAGCTCTCAGAGTTAAAACCTGCTCTGATTATAATATCTGTGGAGGAGAAGGGCTTGCAGTCCAAGATGCTGAATGATGACCGTCCTGCTGGAATAATAACTGGAACGTTAGGAGAACTAGCCAATGAGGATTTGGGGTCTCATCCCGTTGCCAGAAAAGAACCCGATGAATCACAGAGAGATCTGAATGCATATTCCAGCCTTGAAGAGCAAACTCTGCCCATACAGCCCATCTCTGGCAATGAAGAGGTGACCGCTGCTGGGAGCACAGGGCAAGAAGAATCAGAAATTGTGCAGCAGCAAGTAGAGAGAACAGATCCAGATTTGTCTTTAAAACTCAGCTGCAGTGGCTTCCCGGTAACCACTATAAAAAATGAATCCAGTGGGGCTAATTTACACTTGGAAGATGTTACCATTCCCTCGAAAGAAAAGGCAGATGCATGCATTGGAGCACATTTGAAATCACCTGGCATAATTATTGGGGGAATCTGTCCGGTAGAGCCCTGCAGAACTAATGCTGGGGTGCAGTCAGAAACAGAGCTGCTAAAAAAATCACTCTTTGAAACAAGAGACAGCAAAGTGACTGAGGAAAATGAGTTCAATATAAGTCAAGGCCTAGAGCAAGATATATGTGGAACTAGCGCAACAGCACTGGAAAAGAACAGGATTAGTGGCCTGTGTCAGGGAGATGGTGCTTATGGTGACACCTTCGGGAGCATCATCTCTTGCGTACACAGGCTAGAAAAGAAAGAAACTGAAAGCTGTAATATTTCAAAGGAACAAATAGGCATTAGTGAAGATTCTCCCAGCAGAGAACTAAAGCTGGGCTCTACTGTGGAGGAGCTGGCGAGCCTTAGCAAAGACAATGAACAGAATCCAAATGAGACCGATGCTTTTAACTGTATAGTGAAAACGGAGAGCCAAGAGGCCTCTGCCCTGGGTCTAGATAATGTAAGCACTAGCAGTGCTAACAGTGAGGAGATGGATGAGAATTCGTTCCATTTCTTGGGGAGTAACAGCAGTCTCTATAAGGCTGTGCAGAAGCAGACCAAGACTGGGAAACCTTCCAAGTTTTTAGTGTTCTCAAAAATAGCATCTTTCAAGAAAACCAAGACAGCGGCTGCTGAAAACCAAGGTAGCAGCAGCTTCTTTGGCAGCAAAACAAAGACAGAAGAACTTGATGCTGGGAAAGAGGATGACGACACAGAAAGCTTGCAGTCTTTTAAAAGCAGTTCACCCAGTTCTGCCTTCCAAAGAAAGGAAAGCTACACCTCTGAATATTCTGATGATGACGACTTATTTTATGAAAGACCTGCTGGATTGTTCAGCAGAATCAGCCTGAGGAAGGCTTCTGGCTCTGGTCGGATACTGATGGACAACATAGACACACATTCTACTTCCCCCGCGTTGAATGTCAAACACTCTGAAGCACGAGTCTTAGAATCAGTTGAAAATAATGACAGTGAAGTGCCACAGTATTCTGGGGTGAGGAAATCCCTGAGTGAGAATGAGTATAAAAGAAACAAAAACCCAGAGAGTAAAAAATTCAGGACAAGACTGGCCTTGGCGCATAAATCCTTCTCAAGTTTCTTTGAATCCAAATCCCTGGAAAAGGAAAATCCTGAACAGAGTCCCAAAGGATCATTGAAACATGAAAAGGAGAAAGCCAAGCTTCGCCAAAGCTCCTGGAAAGCATTTCTGAAAAGCAGGGAGGCTGATGGACTGAAAAAGCCAACCTTAGCAAGTTTATCACCATCACAGGAGAGTCTTAAAACAACCCGGGGCCACCAGCAAGGTCCTGGTAATGTTACAAGAAGAACATCCACAGAGAAGCAGGAGAGCTCTAATGGACAAGCATATTTGAGCTCATATGAGTTTAATGCCACCTCCACGGATGCCAACCATTCTGACACCTCTGTGGAATCCATTGAGGTCTCTACACCTATAGATATGAGAAGAAAAAGAGTACTATCCTATGATCTGACTATCAAATGTCCAGAATACCCAGACTATGCTGAGCAGCAGGAAACAATGGTCAACAGTTCAGATACTTCTGAGGAATACTGGCTGAGATCTCCCTTTAGCCCCAGTGACCTGCAATCACCGTTTACTCACCTAAGCCCCTCTTGCCCCCAGCTATCGACATATGAAGGTAAAGACATGCCCTGTCGTCCCATGAGCCCTAAACCACAAAGTCCAAGACCTGGCTCTCAACGTAAGAGTTTCCGTTATCCCGGGAGAATAAGTGCCACTTCCATGATTTCTCTTGGGAACAGCTCTGCTATCGACAGCAATTTAGAGGCACCCGAGAGGCCAAAGACACTGAAGCCCAGGGGTACTCTCTTGCTTTCTGTGCACTCATTGGACAATGAATACCTGAGAGAAGACAGTGGGATAAGCAGCCAGTCACAGATCAGCTTAAACACTGCTTCTTCAGTTAGCGATATACTCAGAGATGAGGTGAGTTGCTCTGTAAGAATTATCAGACTTAGTTTTGGTTTGCTTTGCAGTGCTCTCCTGCTGGGGTTAAGGAATCCCAAATGCCAAGAGTGGTATTCCGTTAATAGAAAATGAGCAGATTAGTTAGGTTTTAGGATAAACATATATCTGTGTAAATACAATAGTTCAACGCTAGTGATTGTTCCTAGTGAATAGTGGGAGATGCCTCTTTGCATCTAAGCTCATTTACATTCCCTTAAAGTGAAGCTTTACTGCAAATGGTGACTCTGTGAAATTGGCATCATGATTCTCTATATTTATTATATTTATTGCCTCTCAATGACTTAAGATTAGAATTTACTCCTCTTACAAGTAAAAAGATCAGGGTTTTCTAACTGCCAGTGCTGAAAACTTACCCTGGAGTTTGAAAGTCCCGCTGGGTTCTTTCTGGCTCATGCATCATACAAATTGCACAAACCAAATACTGCCCTCTGTTACACCCATGCTAAGCCATTGTCTTCAGTCAGGTCTTCAAGGCAAAACTGGTCCCTGTAATTGGCACCTAATAAACAATTCTAATGATTCATAGATTATAGGACTGGAAGGGACCTCGAGAGGTCATCGAGTCCAGTCCCCTGCCCGCATGGCAGGACCAAATACTGTCTAGACCATCCCTGACAGTGATGATTCATATGATTCATCCCTTATGATTCATAAGGCAAAATAGAAATCGACTCACTGTTAGCTGTGTTGCTTTTGCAGGGTAACAAAAGCAAAAAGGAGAGAAATCTTATTTTAGACAGTAAACTGCTATCACTCAGAATACCACAAGGATTTTACTGTCACTATGGCTTCTCTTTAAATACCCCTTATGGACACTCCTCTGCCACCCCTGCAGCAAAAAGAAAATAAATATGGGCTGTATCTCCAGCTGATGTGTGTGGATAATTCTAAAACTGGTAATGAGAGAGGTTCATAATGGCTGGAGAATGGGCCTCAAAGTGAAGAATATATTTCCAATAGGGACAGAAGAAGGGGTTTCTATTGAAACAGTTTGGAGCCAATGCGAGTGCAATTCTTGTGTTTCCATTGGTTCCTAATCACCTGTTTGGTTTCCCTCATTGGCAAAGCAAAGAGCATACAGGAGAATGCTTGCACTAGATCCTCCTGTGCAATGCTTCGGAGCAGGGTGTTCAGAGGCTGGTGTGGGTGAGCTTCATCTTACATTATGCTGAGGCTGAGAGAAGTTGCTACAACTCGGTGTTTAAGAAAAAAGCAATGTGATTTTGTTGAACAGTATTTTCAGCACCAGCATCACTACAGGGTTTAGATGTGAGATTTTCTGTCTTGTCCACCTGCACTGACCAATGTGTGCGCACACAGTTCTGAGTCTAAAACTTGTTGATCCGCCCTGTAACCAAGGGTTTGTTGTGTCAATCCCATCTCAGCAAGTGGCTCCTTGCAAAGGACTCTTGCTGGCCCTTTTGTGGGTGCACGCTGATCTAAGCATTGATCTTTCTCTGCTGCTGTCCCAGTTCAAAATCGGAGTTTGAGATGTATAAAAATGAGTTTGCCTGTCCTCCTCCCAGTGGACATTTCATTTGTGTTCCAAACAACTGCAAGATTTTGCAGCTAATTCTGCCTGGAAACTGAGAAAAGAGGCTGGTCGCATGTCACAATGAGGGGCACAGTACTGGTAGAGCAGTGTGTGGGAATTTGCACATCCCCAAGTTACTCTATGCCTTACTCTAGCTGGTATTCTGGGACCCTTGTTTTCACGAGCATAAATTCCTTCACACAAAATGTGTAATAAATACAATAAGTTTCAGGTAACAGAAAGATCTCTGAGCACTCTGCAAATAAGGGTAAACCCACATCTCTCCAAAACATTTAAATAGCTGACTCAAGAAAGAGTCTCTAAGGGGCTGTTAACACACATTGCCAACAGATGAGAGCCTTTTGGAGGCTGAACAAAAGCACTGATAAGCGATCCCAAAGATCATCTAGCTGGGATGGAGAGAGAAGGCATGTAAAGCCTTGACTATGTGAGCCTAAACTCTGAAATCCAACCATTAGGAGCAAATAAATAATTACTTAAAACTGGGGCTTAATTAAATAATTGAAAGGGAAGTATGGAAATTAAAATTGCTCCCAGGCCATGGTTTGGATGGTTTGGAGCAGTTTTAGTCCTCCCTTTGGTGGCTGTTTTTCATACTGCACAATATGAATAGGTGGAGTTATATTGTTTTAAAGAAATTAAAGTAACTGTCCGAGCTTCCAAGATATGAATTCTGACACATGAAAGTACATAGGCTCTTTGACTGCTACCAAGGTAGATTTATTTTAGGCACTGTGGTTTGATTTGGGACATTGTGAAATGGGGGTAGCCCTGAACCCTGCATTATGGCTAAGGGAGTTCAACATGCAGGGTGATTTTCACAGGGGAACTCTGAATATCCAGGACAGGTGTTGAACAAAGTAAATGTTAATGAGATATATATTGTAATAAAATAATAGAATTAAGTCTCTCCAATATGGGTTTGCCAATTAAATATATATTCAGGACTATACTTCTGGACATCTGTCGCTATATAAAAATGTCAGAAAATACAGTCAACAATAGATTAAAAGACTACTCCCCCCCGTCTCCCCGTATCTGATTAGTGGGTGGTATAACTAGAGGGATGGCTAGACAGATGGATAAATGTAGAATTCTTGTGTAAAAAAAACAACAACATCCCCCCCAAAACCTCCAACTTCCCCTCAAAAATTGTTAACAATTTCAAACTTGTTTCTAAGACAGAAGAATTTATGCTGAAAGTATAGAGTGACCCAGTTCTGCACTGCTGATAGTTTGTCCTGAGGCCAGAGTATCACATTAGATGTGACTTAATCAATCTGATTGTTTTTGACATGCTTTCACTTATTTATGTAACTGTGTTCTCAGCAGGCAATAAAAGGCAGTCCCGGTCCATCCCCTCTGCGGCCCTTCCTTGAGACACTGGGGTCAGGGCCTCATGTATTTCAGGCAGACACTTCCCTCTCTGCGTTCCCATTGGTGTTGGTAAGGATGTATACTGTTGCCAGGCTGTGGCATCACACGCCACTTGCAAGCGAGAACTGAGCTGGCACAGCGCTATTTATGTAGGACCTGGTTTAAGAACAGATGAAAAATTACTTTTTTTTTTAAAGTTTGTCATACTTGAGTTCTTCAAACAATGGGGGATAGCAGGGAGACCCCAGTCACTCTAGAAATCAACCCTCCCTGACATGGAGGATGTACTTCACCTCCTTTGTTCTGAGATGATTCCTGCTCTAGTGTCTCTGATCTCTTACCTTATATATTATCAAACTTCCATCAATACGACGTGGATTAATGGTGAAATGCCTTGTGATATCCCATTTTCGAATAGTTCCTGTGTAAAAGCTGGGGGGGGGGGGATAGTGTGCGCGCAGCAGCACGTGGAAAAGGAAAGGGAATGAACCCAAAACCTATGCAATCCCCTCCTGCCCCCCAGCTTCCTAATTCCTCAGCTAAAGTAACATTGATAACATGAAGTGCCACGTCAGAAGTACTAGGCTCATGTGTCAGACCAGCAGACATCCAGGGGGTTCTTATACCTTTCATAGCTAAGTACCTTAGCTGTGGGGAAAGCACAGACAGGCAAGCCAGGGTATGACTGCATTTCGAGAGACACCTTTATAAACAATATTGCACGCACACAGTGACCTAAATCCTACTGGTAGCACTATTGTAATAAACCACAGGACTAGATTGTGACTGGCCCTGTACGAGTGCACAAGGATGAGTATACATGATGATTCCTTCCCTGGTGGCTGTGCGCAGGGAGCAGAGGCCACACACTCGGCTAGTGGAGGTTGAGGGAGGTATCGCTCAGGGCAGAAGGGAACCTGCATTGCACTCTATCAAAGGATAGCAAAGCTGCGGCTCCAGGGTACAGTACGCTGAAGGCCCTGGAGCAGTCCTGGCTAAGTGAGTCAAGGTTCCTCTACTGTCTCCTTCCCCTGCATGTGGGCTATCATTTGTTTTCCCAGTCTGGCCTATAGTGTGTGAGGCAGCTACTATATGGTATTTTAAAAGGGGAAAATTTTGGCAGGCTCAGAACATAACTGATCATTTTCCTCATTAACTGTCTTTTCCAAAGCCAGCAAATGACCCATTAGGTGATTTTTGTTTTAACGCCACTGTGTTTTTCCTTCCTTCCCACTTATGGAACCCAATTTCAGCTTTAAGCTTCTGCTGAACCTTTAAAATAAACGAGAGAAATCAAATCTGTGCAACACCCTGGTAGTTACCTCTGTACGATGCAATCACTGCTGCACTGGTCAGGTTCTCAGGTTTGTGTGCGGACGTGGGGTGGGTAGGATGGGATTTCAGTCTTCCAGAGCGCAAGTAAAGGCTCAGACCTCCAAGTGGTTCTGGGCCCTGGCACTGAGCTTTGCAATTCAGTCATGATAAAAAACCACCCTGTGTTTTCACCTGCTGCTTATAACACAGGATCCCCAACAGCAAAGTCAAACGCCACCTGAAAAGAGGCCCAGTGAGAAATGGGTTCTGCATCGCAAAAAGAAGTCCCCTCAGATCATGCTGTCCCCACGGCCATTCTCCAGCATTGAGAGCAAAGTCTGGATGCTCCCCTTCCTCACCCCAGATGGAAAAGCCAAGAAGACGTCGCAGAGGAAGAGACTCAAACCCCTGTACAAGCGCTTCAGCTGTGACGACATGTGGCTGGAGAGGTATCGGAAAAGGAATCTAGAGAAGGAGACGCAGTCGGAGAGAGAGATTCAATTGAGGAACCTCCCAGAGGACCAGTTAAAAGTAAGAAATTGGATATCATCCTTCCTCTCTTCTCTGGCACTGTACTCCTCCTCCTCTCCGGCTGCTTCTTTCTGCTGTCATCTTCTTCTCTCTTCAGGCTGCATCTCGCGGCAGCTCTGGCTGCTTCCCTTTGGGCCTCTGGTCTGTGGCAACCAAGCATGTAAAATTAAACTCTCACCAGCCCAGTGACTGTCTTGAAGACAGGAGGCTTCTGTTGTTGCTAAAAGCATGCAGCTTCTGCTCTGTCACATGGTGTGTGATGGGGAGCGATAGCATCAAATATCTCTCTCGGTGGGCGGGGAGATGGAAGGAGGGGGGAACAAATCAGTCTTCTAACGTCAATAAAAATTCACTAATGAAATCTGTTACTATGCAGTGTTATTCCCTGGGGGCTGCTGCATCTCTTCAAAGAGAGACCCCCCTCTCCCCCCCCTCCCCGTTCCTTAACTTCTGAGTCAAATGCTGCACTCCTTATTCAGGCAAAACTCCCATTGATTCCCAGAGGGAAGGAGTGCAAGAAGCGCTTGACAGAAACTCTCCATGGGAGCCTGTAAATTGATACTATTGGTTTGAAAACTGCTCCGATTATTGCCCATTGATAGTGTCTTTAGGAAATGTGCTATTGCTGCTTGTGACAAAGGCCATCTGCCACTTTGACTCATGCAGACAACACTGCTCGACTCTTGTAGGCAAGACCAAGGTTTCCATGAACTTTAGTGAGAGCCGTGTGTGTATCCAAGAGCAGAATTTAGCCTATGTGTTGAGAGAGCTAAAATAGGCTCAGAAAGGAGGCATCTGTATGCAGCTTTCTGCTAATAAAATGGAAACATTTTAGGCCTAGCTTTGGAAGATGTAGGTTTTCAAAGCTCCTGTCAGGGACTGTGTGTTGGTGAGTTTGCTGCATTTATTATTTCCCTTTCTTTGTGTAGACTCTTAGAAATGCTAATAGAATGTCTCTGACTGCCATTGTATTAAAGAGAGCCTCCTTGAGAATATAGGCCTTGATCCCGCAAACCCTTAAGCATATGCTTAACTTCATACACATGAGCAGTCCTGTTGAAGTCAGTGAGACTACTTGAATGCCTAACATTCAGCGTTTCCATCAGTTCTTGTGAGGAGAGAATGGAGGATAATGGCAAGATTGGGGGCCTTATGCCCTATATTTGATCTACCTTAAAATGATTAAGACAGCCAGATTGATTCTAAAAATAGAGTTGATGAAAAATTATCCTCCATTCTCTCCTCAAAAGAACTCAGCATGCCGAATTTCTGTAGGCCCACACAACATGAGCTCATCTGCTGGTGCTACCACAGCTGGGTCCTAATAAATATTGGGCCAATCCTATGATGCACTGTAAACTCTTAGCTCCCTGAGGGTGCTCAGCACCTTATGGGGGCTCAGGCTCACTATGGGCAGGTTCTGCTGACAGTGAGTGATGCTCCTGGCTCAGAAGACAACATTCTGGGCATACGATGTATTGTGACCTTGCTGATGTTTTTTAGTAAAAGTGATCGTGTTATTTTCAGCATTGTGTAAAATACTGGGCAAATGACTGATTGTTTTCAAGGGGAAAAATGATTTTCAGACTTGCATAGACTTCATTCTAAACAAAAGGCAGTAAAATGTGTTAAAAAATAATTGCTTGACAGCGTGAACGGCGGTGGAAATGTAATTAATGCTACAACAAATGTTAGCCAGCATCTAAAATATTAAAGCTTGTAGAAAGGGCGATGAATTATTTCATCATCTTTCACTTCTCCCTTTCGATCCAGATGCTCTTCATTCTACTCATCTGCTCCCTAGGCTGAAAACTATTGCTACCAATAAACACTGTCTCCGTTAACCCTTTCCACTTTCTTTTTCTGCTGGTAACTTTAAACTGTAATCAGCTGTGTAAGTATAAGGGCTACTTAGAAATCCGTTATTCCTTTAAGGGAATAATTTGCACACAACTTGTTACCCCAAACGGAGTTACCCAGACACTTTAACTTGAATGCACTAGCTTGGATAAAAGAGTAAAACAAGTGTATTACCTACAAAGAGAGAGATTGTAAGTGCGTACAAGTAATGAGCCGTAAAAGTCAGAAATGGTGACAAGAAAAATAAACATAAAACACTTACTGGTGCCTAACTTAACAAACTATATCAGATTCAAAACAGTTTTCTCACCACATGCTATTAGCAGTCTTACTTACTAATCCCTTTGGACCTGGACCCCTCCCCCAGAGTCTAACAGCTGTTTCCTTTGTCTCCTCAGGACTTAGGGTGACCAGATGTCCCTATTTTATAGGGACAGTCCTGATTTTGGGGTCTTTTTCTTATATAGGCTCCTATTACTCCCCCCACCCCCATCCCGATTTTTCACATTTGCTGTCTGGTCACCTTACCTCAGGTGCAGTGAATGAGATGGGCAGGGAGAGAGAAAGGGGTGTCCTGGGTGTTTGCCTCTGGAGTTAAGAGTTTCAGTTGCCTGTTGAAAAATATTTCCAGCTGGGAGCAAGGCGACAGGCAGTCTGTGTGGAAAGAAACTCCATGCTGTTTCTTTGCTAAATTGTAGATTTTTGCCCCTGCCCCCTTTCTGCCAAAGAATGGCCACTTGTTTACACCTGTCTGTGGTGTCAGCTTGCCCTTTGTCTCTGAGGAAACGGTTTGGTCACTCCCCAGACTTCTCTGGAAAACATACTTTTATTCATAATTTCAGCTTTGTGTTTATAGCTTCACATATAATGCTGCCACATGGATTTTGCCATGATATTATTGATCAGCAAATTGAGTTTTCAAATGACACCTCACACAACATACCTTGTACAAAAGTTATTACAGTAGGGTGTGAACGCAGGTGTATAGTCTGTCACAGTTGGTCTTTGTTTTGCTCAGGTCCAGTAAGATGCTGATCTGCCTTGAATGGGGGGAGTCTATATAAATCCCCAGAGTCCAAACATGAAGCTGGACTCAGCTGTCACTTACAATGAAATATCACCCATAACAAGCTGAGTATCTGCTAATCTCATGTTTTAAAGTGTTAACATTTAACTGGTCCCAGCTAGCCTTTGAAGTTAACACTGCCTGAAGTGGAATGAGAGAAATTCACACCATTGTTGGTAAATCGGTTTCATTTTGGCTGGCCACCGACTTGCATTCATGTACATAGTGCAGGGTCTCTCAATGCAGCCTGGAGTGTTATAGATGTATTTTAATGCAATCATATATTCAGAAGACTAGAGCAAAATCAATGTCCAATCCACAATTCTGTGTAGTCCACTGATTCTTTAGGGGCAATCCAAATCTGTGACCCCCCCATCTGTTTTCAAAATTCTTTTGGAGGAGCTGTTTTAGCAGCATCTACTCATTCTCTCTTCTCCTCTCTACTTCAACACATCATTAAACCCTGACAGTTGAACTTGACTGCGGTCATATGTGCATCTGGTAGAACACAGCTTCTGGGTAATTCAGCAGAACCCAAGTCCCTTGCTGCTGGACTTCTGAGGAATCCAGAAATGGGACAGCAGAGGATGGTTATACCAAACAATTCCATTTTATATTCTGCACTGGAAATAACAAACAGTGGAAAAAGCAAATCTGATCTCTCACCTTGCTAAGTAGACTCCTGTCAGTGTCCCCCTCAGAGCCTCATGTCAAACACATGCATTTTATATGTGTGAAACAACGGAAACGTAGGGTATGTCTACACTGTGGGATAATGCACACTATGGGGGTGTGATTTCCAGAGAACACTGTGTTGCAAATTAATTGGTCTGTGTAGACCCTGCTGGTGCACTTTAACGTTTGAAACAGTATTACATCAAAGCGCGGTAGAGCACCTTCAGTGCACCCCAGCAGGGTCTACACAGACCAACTGATGCATAACATGTTAGTGCCTTTAGAAATCACATTCTTATAGAGCACATTACCCACTGTGCAGACAAACGCTTAGGCTTGTAAGCAACAATTGAAAACAGCAGAATGAAGAAGACTATTATAGTTTTAACAATCAACATCAATAACATGCCGAAAATTTTAAGGCTGTAATCTCCCATTACATTCCTAACCAGCTAAACTCTCTACATAGAACACAAGGAAACCTATCTTAATGTAACAAATAAAATATAGCACCATGTTACAGGAAATGTATGTACACATACAGGCCTAAATTACACCATTGTCAATCCCACTAACTTCAGTAGTCAGTTAAATGGGGAGAGCCTTTGGCCCAGAGAATTGTTAAAGTGTGCAAAAACTTGCATTGTATGTTGTACAAGAGGATGTGTCTCCTTTAATACATAGAGGTATCCTTCTATTAAGGTCTGTGATTATAGCCAGATCACGTGCGTTGTGGTTGTATCAGGTTCACTCTGGAAGGATAACCAAGTTGTTTGGGAGCAGAGCTTGGACCAGGTAAGATGCCTCTCTTGTGCATCTTAAGAATCACGGAGATGGGGATGTGGTAAAAGGCCTTTTCCATATATAGAATTCCTTAGGGGGTATTTAACTGCTTGCTGGCATAAGAAGAGCCCAGATGAAGCAAAAGCTTGCGTTTTTCTAAGGAGCAGTTAGTATAGTATATAGCCCATAGCTTCTGCTGTAACAGAAATTGTAGTGTGCACAGCACAATAATGCCTTCTACCCTGTTTACAACTAAATATCATAGACATCATGCTTGGTATTTGCATTTCTGTGCTTTGCCTATTTTGCGCTGTCTTGTCATTTGAAGTGGGTGTGCCCCCGGTGGGGCTTTATTGTTATTGTCTAAACAAACAGACGCTGCTTAGCTTAATTTGCACAGGATTTACTCTGTTACACTGGAGATGGCGATTGGTGGGAAAACATTGGCTCTGGTCTCTGTATTCCAAGAGAGTAAACCCCGTGGACTGGAACGGAAGAGTATCGCTTTCAGCTACCTGAGCAGTGTGGTTGCTTTGCTTTTTTTCTTTCAGAAGAACATAGTCATTTTGCTAAGAACCAGTTTTCTTAAAGAAGCCATTGGCAGGAAGCCAGGTCTGCATGACATCCCTGGTTACTTACGGTATTGTAGGTGAACAAGGAAGCAAAGATTATGCTTGTGGTGACAGACCAGTGTACTAGCAGGAAAGGAGAAGGATCCTAGTATGAATACTGGATTTCTATATTCCAGACCTTTATTTCGGTGATGGATGAGACTATTGTTGCTACGAAAAGCTCAGAAGTAGTAAAAGAAAAGGACAGTAATGGTAGTGGGCTGGGGGCTTGCTATACCCATGAGACCAACCCTTTCTGGCCTGCTGCTGTCAAATTAATTTCATTTACACTTGCAGTCACTAATATTCTACCCGGTGCACAGCAGCGAGAGATACGAGATAGAGAAATAATAAAAATGAAACAGAAAAAAATATGCACTGAAAGCAAACTTAGCTTGTGCTCCAGTAACTCCAGCGTTTGGTGTCTTTGATCACATTGTATATTGTGCTAAGATCCTGGATGATCTATAATGTGATAGGGTTTCATCAATTTGTAGCATGGTACATGTCATCTGTGTTCCCTGATGAACTAGTAGAGGGATACTCAGTTTGCAGCATTCCTTTGGCTCCTTAGTGGACCGAGTATTCTGGCTCCAGCAGGTCATTTCCACATCCTATTGATCGAAAGTGCTGCTTGTTCAATCTCATGAGATCTACTTATGCTATCTCATACTGAGTTCAGCATACTTTCACCACATATCATGATGGCCGGGTCCTCCAGGTCTGTTTCCTCCCCACCTATTGAATTGCTGAACTTTAGTGTGAATTCTACTGGGAAGAAAGGACCCATTCTAAGACTGATACGGCTCAATCTACCACATCCTGTTTCCATTACCAAGTTCAAGTTGACAGCTGTTAGTTCCTATTTCAAGGCAGTGGGGATGGATCGGGCAGAACATGTCTTGCTATGGAAAAAGTTCCAAAAAAATAAAAGGTTTTCTTGCAATAGCAATAAACAAAGCAAATGAACTTTCCTTTCAGGATTTTTTTTGGGGGGGAGGGGGTTGGGCAGGTGAAAACTGCCTTTTCTCTTGGTGAATGTCCCTCTTCCATTTTTATCCATGGAGAAAGCTGCTTTCACTGGCAAAACAGGCTCTGATTAATTTTTATTGGGTAAAAATTTCATGGGATGAATTAGTCCATATTTGGGATAGTCCATATATTGCTCAGTTTTCAAAAGAAATCTCTTGTCTTTTTTCTTCTTCCTTCACAAGGTGTTTAACAGAAGGGAAATAATGTCATGTGTTTCTAGGGCAAAACAGATGCTAGTTAAGAATGACAGGGTACCTATTAAAATGTTGTCTGTGCAAGACGGCATCATGGCTCAGTTAACCTTTTCTTCTGTCCCTGTCACCTTGGAGCTCTGTCCTCTCCATCACTGTTTGCATCTCCATTTTAAAGAAGAGGCTCTTTTTGATGGGACAGACCCATCTCCCTAACTATAAATCACCTGATCTTGCAAATCTTTATCTTACTCACACTAGCAATCACTACAGCTGGAAGGAAATGTTTCAGGATGAAGCCCATAATTCGTACTTCTGGGTACCTAAGCTTAATGTCACCTTTGTTTTCCTTTTCTTTCTTGCAGGCTAGAATGAGTCTGTCCATAACTTCTCCAGTTGCCTTTGAGATTCTTCCCCTGAAGTTGCATCCATTTTCCCAGAGCACCCCAACAGGCTTAGACTGCGTGGGCTGGAGACGGCGTATCTCATTTCCTGGTGTGTATGCTGCAGTCTTACTTTGACAACTGTTGTGCAAGAATTAATTTCTGTTTAATTGAATACAGAAACTGGATAGTATTGGCAATATCATCCAATTCTGTTATATTAATGAATGTGCCCTTACAGTTCACATATCCTCAGGTTAAAGCTGTGCAGTTAAGGCTCTTCCTGCGGGTGGCTCCTACTACCAGCATATTACAGATGGAGCAAGGGTAACTCACTATATCTCTCTAGGTCCTGTCAGTGGATTTGAAAGTTTGAATGCATCCTCAGTACTTACAGCCCTTGTAGCAATAACAATGCAACCAAATGTCATCTTTCATAGTATAAGCTAATCACCGTGAAGGGCAGGAAGGATTTTTTTCACCATCTAAACATTGCAGTGTTGATTAGGTGCACCTTGCAAGCTTTGCATCAGGTGTTGGATGTGGCTGAAGGCAGGATACTTGAATGAATGGTCTGATGCAGTGTAATAAATCCTACTTTTCTTCATCAATGCATTCTCTGTGCTCACTCAACTAACTAAGGACACGTCTCAGTAACTGTCCTGGTGCATCTTGGGAATGAGTATTATGTCTGTGAGTGAAGAGGAGGTTTAGGGAAAGGGGATGCTCCTAATACTTGACACAAACCCAGAAGTTCTCTTTCTTAGGTAGTTCAATGGCCCTGGTTTTTGTAGTATCTGAGCACCTGACAATCGTCGTTAACTTTATCCTCACAACACCTCTGTGAAATAGGGACTCCCAATCTATCTCCATTGTGTAGATGGGGAACTGAGGCACTAAGACCAAGGGACCTGCCCAAGGTTGACACAGGAAAGCTGGGGCAGGACAGGTTATTGAACGCAGGTTAAACCTGGGTGCCAGGCTAGTGCCCTAACTACATGACCATCCTTCCTCTCAATGTAGAGGCTTATACTTCGCCACACCAGCACATTATACACTTCCAGAGTTTCAGGCCCTGCATGTTGACAGCTGCAGTGTACCCGTGACGGCTTCTGCTGGGAGACTGAGAAACCCTGAAGAAAACATCTCTAAGCCAGGTGCTCCTGTCTGCTTAGTCAGGCAGAGATAACCAAAAAGATATGGAAATGGAGAGGAAAGGTCCAGCCATAGGGGTTGCCTTAGGATTCTGATACTTGGGCTGTGCTCTCCCAGAGGATCTGCATGGTTTGTCAGCCATGCCATCTCTGCATGGCTGCAAACCCCTCCCATGTGACATTGACTCCAGAAGGGTAAACCTTGCAGAGTTGCTAACTGCATTGAGTCCTCCCTGTGGGGTCTCTGTGGGAGGGAAGCATCGGGACTTGTTTAAGTTAGTTCTCCCGCAGCGTGGAGCAAAAGAATGCAATTTGTTGTAAGCATCCCTCACTGCAAGTCACATTGTAAGTGCAAAGTGTGAACCTGCAACTGAGAAAAATAGATCAATAGTAATAATGTAGAGCAAGACTTGGTGGTGAAAGGGGATGACCTACTGTCCCATGGGAACTTCACCTAGCTCAAGATGATCTCACCTAAATTGCAGGTTTAATTAGGTTCTGACAAACTCAACAGTGTGTCTGCTTCATGCTAGCTGGAGATCTTTGGGGTACGATTCTCTAAGTTGCTAAGTAGGCACTAAAACAGCTAAATGAGCCTTGAGGACTAAATGTCTCCAGTATTTAAGAGATCATGTTAAAGGAGGATATGTGCTGTATTTTTATGTGGAATATGCATGAGATCAGATGTCTACTTAATTTCCAGTTACTTGAATTTTTTAAAAATTCAAATGCAAGCCTCACACTTTATTAAACAGGTTCTTGTGTTCTCCAGATAACCATATCTGCAGAAAGATAAGCTGATAACTCTAGCAGTTTCAGAGTGGGATGCAGAAAGAACATTATGTAGAAGATTTTCAAAGGCACCGTTGGCAGCTAGGCGCCTAACTCCTATTTACAGGCAGTGGGAATTGGGCACAGAAATGCCATTTGTGCCTTTGAAAATCTCCCCCTATGATTTCAGCAATATAGTCACCCTGATAAACTTAACACTGGGTATACAGATTTTAATCCTTATCAGGATGACCGACATCTGCACTAATCATCTACTTAAGCAGAGTATTACGAACAGCTGGGTTAAAAATTGTTTGCTTTATGGTGGTTAATAAAATTCAAACACAGAGGCTGCGGATTAGCCCTGGAGACCAGAAAACAAACTATTTCTTATCACAATGTCACCCCCTCCCTCCTTTGCTCTGCCGACAATGATGGCGTTTATTGCCAGCCTGTGTGCTATTCCCACAAGCACCTTTGTGATTTTTCCCCTACTGCCGCTTAGGCTTGGGAAGAACTCCCCAATACAATTCACAAAGCTGCTGCCTTAGCCTGTTTCAAATCCCTACCTTTGCTGAGATGTCTACAGATCACAGTAGTGACTTGTGTCTACTGACATCACTATAACTCTGTTACCTTGTCTTGCCTCCATCCTGAGTGTTAGTTTATTCACCAGTTGCATATTGTTTAAATCTTAGGCTCTGATTGTGAGCATTCTGGAGCTTGTCTGTGTTTTGCCTAGTCAAATAAAACCCTAATACCTATTTGGGATCCTTTAGGCACTGCCCCAATAGAAATAAATAATACTAATGTTCTGAGTGCAGCTGGCTCAGAGAACTTGAAATTCATAGTACCCCCAGAGGGGGTTATTTATATGGAAATAGTTGAAACTTTATTATTATTTTTTTAAGTAAAATGAAAAGTGAATTTGGACTGACCAATAGGTGGTGCCCTGGGTTTTTAGAAAACACTTCCCCAGCAAAAGGGACCATTAAAGTTGCATCTTCTGGAGGCACAGAATATTCTGAGATCAGCAGTGAATACGAGTGAATGTTTAATGTTATGACCTACACATGAACCTCAGGAATTCTGCTTGAAGCTGCAGCAAACTGGAATGAAATGCCACAAAACCTTTTCATAGTAACAAAATCCTCTGGAGAGTGTAAGACGCTTTTCCTAGCGTTGCCATCTCAGTGATCAACTACTACTAGGGCTTCATGTAAAAGGAGTGTGTGTGTGTGTGTGTGTGTGTGTGTGTGTGTAGTAGTTAGGTTAGGGT